GGTGGTCCTTAATATAGAAGTTTTCGAATTTCCTTGCTCCCAGGGGCTTGAATGATTCCAAATTGATAAAATAAATTCTCGGAATATTAATATTAACTTTAAGATAGTGCGTACTCCAGCCAAAGTTTCTATGGAAATAATATGGGTAAAATATCGTTTGGTTTATAACCTAGCGACAAAAGAATCAAAATTTTGTGAATAACATCGTGTTGGATTATTTTGATCATAAATGAAAAAAATACAACTAAAATTGGATATATTTTATAAAATAAGTATTTATTTAGAAAGAAGAATCAAGAAACTTTGGTTGGAGGGCGAACTATCTTAAAGTTGATATTCATAGAGAATTTTTTAACAATTTGGAAGCATTTCTGCCCCTGGGAGCAAGGAAATTTGAAACATCCACATTAAGGACCACCCTAATATATGCAAATATATATATATATATATATATATATATATATTAGGGTGATCTTAATATGGACATTTGGAATTTCCTTGCTCCCAAGGGTTCAAATGGTTCCAAACTTGATAAAAAATTATTCTCTGAAAGTTTTAGCTCTTAATAATGTTTTCTAGATAGAGCGCAATTCAATCAAAGATTTGTATGGAAATAGCATGAAAAAAATTTCGAAAATTTTGCAGAGCGTCGAATTTTCAATAAAAAATTACACGAATTTTCACTTTTAATTCATTTGTCGCTAAGTTATACCTAAAATTTTTTTTTTAATTTTTAATTTTTTTTCCATGTTATTGCCATACGAAGTTGGATTGAATTTCTCACTATCTAAAAGTTAATATTGAGAGCTAAAACTTTCAGAGAATTGTTTTTTATCAATTTTGAACCATTTGAACCCTTGGGAGCAAGGAAATTTGAAAATGTCCATATTAAGGACCACCCTAAAATATATATATATATATACACATTTGTTATTCGTTGATAGATTGATCATGTGTCTGCAAGTAAACAAACACTTGCCGAAATCAAATCACGTCTGGAATTAATTATTCATAAATAGAGCTGGCGATACAGTTGCTACCAAATATATGTTATGGCCATAATGAAATGGAATATTTTCAAATTCTATAAAAAAACTTTTTATATATTATATCTATAACTGTTTCCCTGCGCATTTTATAAATGACTAAAAAAAGATTAGTGTCAAATAATATTCAAAAATTGTCATAGTATTTAAGATAGAATTGATTTTCATCAACTCCAGCCATTAGTATCCTTATACCTTATATTTAAATTCAGTATTTATTTGGCCAGAGATTTATAAAGATCGTTTTTTACTGATTCAATTTTACTAATCGATGCATTAATTCATTCGAATAAAAATTTACGCAAGTTTTACAATATATAAACCAATTTATTAAGATACCTTCACATTCTATTTCATTCATTGTGTATCTTTTTGCGTTTAAAAATATATTATACCTTTCACATATGGCTTTAGCACTGATAAATATTGTAAGAGCGACTGGCGTTATACACTAGATTAAATGAAATGTGTGAGATTAGAAATATTAGTTTCTGGAATGATAAATTACCATTGTCTTAGTATTGTTAACTAATTACTGGTAGTTAAATATTGGCACATTAAAAAACGTATTAGAAATTAAATTCTAAATAGTTGTCAACCATAAAAAGGCATTAAAAACTTCAAACAAACTTAATTTGGAAGTTTTATTTAGTACCTAATAATTTGGGAAAGAAAATTCAAACAAATTCTATTACTAAAAATTGGCACCCTAAGAAGGTGATAAAAAAATAAATCATTTCATTATTATTTTTTATTTATTTTACTAATACTAATACATGTAAATGTTAATTTATCATAAGCCTTTATTTTATATATCCATTTTGAAATATAAATTAGCAAAAAATTTCAAACAAGTAATAAAACGTAATTAAATTTCTCTATCGGTTTGTAATAAATATTAATTGTTGAATAACTTCAACTCAATAAGTTTTCTTATTCACTTTATGATAATATACCAATATTCAGTATACTTTTTTCGATACTTTATTCAAAAATATTATTAGCTCATTGAATATTAATTTAGATTTTTATTACAAACAAAATTATAGTAAGGAATTTCTCCATCAGAAAAGAGTCGTAACCAACAGTTTACTAAAGCTATGATATTTTTTATTATATCGGAATAATAATAATAATAATAATATATACATATAATATATATATATATATATATAATAAATAAAGTTTTATTATTTTTTATAAGAAAAGCTAGTATTTCCTTTATTTGGGAACTGCGATATATACAAATATTGATTCATGCTTCTTATTAATATTTGAACCAGATTTATTATTGATGTGTTTATATATTTTGGTTATGCATGTAACGCAAGTAATAAATAACTATTAAGTTCCAAAAAATATTGTATATACATATCGCAATATATTTTATTGCGATTCTGAATTATTTTCATTCACATTGCTAAAGACTAAGGTGAAGTTGTTGGAACAAATTCAATAAATATGCGAACTTATAATAATTTTACAAAACTGATAAATAATATAAATTATAGAATAGATATTATAGCAATATAAATTATGTAAAATTAACAAATGATGTAAATTTTATTAAAACTATAAAAAGTATAATCATGGTTGTGAAAATTGTGCCCATGCCCCAAGCAGGATCCACTAAGAACAAAAAAGGTAATAACAAATTATTGATAATGTTCTTATATAATTATTTACAGATAATTCAATTTAGTACTTTATATTAATGTCTTAATTTCCAGCAATTATTAAAATGTGTTTTGTACGTGCGACTTTACCTTTATATTATATGTTCAAAATCTTTGGTTTATCGACGATTCATATACGTAAAGATGAAAAAACTAAAAAATTGAAATATGTTTGTACAAAAAATTCAACTCTAGAATATATTTACTGTTTTGTAATACTTGCTCTGTTACAAATTGCATGTTTAGCTGATATTTTATTAGGATCTCTCGAAGAAGATGAGACATTAGAGGTAAGCATTAATTTAGTAAAGATTTCTTTTATTTATTTAATAATATAATTAAATTCAATTTATACATTTTTGCCTTTCTTATGAAACCATATGCATTGAATGTTTTTTCCTATATATTTACTTTACTATTAGTTTCATGCAGGTTTTAAGTTTTAATTACAATATATTTATTTTTAAAATGATGAAATTTATCTATATTTTTCAGGTGGCACAATACTATGAAGCTGCATGTGCTCCATTCATTTTTATGTTATCAATAATTATTAATTTGGTTTACAAAAATGATTTTGTAAAAATATTGCAATATGAGGATAATGTTCAAGACTGGCTGGATAGATATGGCATACCTGTCAGGTGTAATAGTAGAATAGACTAAAATGGTTTCTTTTAAAAATATTTCTTATAAACTAATAATTCGGAGAATAATTAATTCAACTTCTTTTCTCAAACTTTTTTGCAGAATATTTTTTATTATTTCATGCGCAATAATTCTATTGTTAACACCAATCATTATTTTTTTTAAATCATTCACCAACTTCTACATAGCCATCTTTCAGTAGCTTTTTTTGTAATCATTCATGTACTTTTTCTGTAATTATTCTTTTATAATTATAGCAATGAAAAAATTCGTTCACAATGCAAAAGACAAGTAATAGGAATCATAATAATTTTTATAGTGGAGTGTGCTGTTCGCATTTTACTTGAAGACAACCTCAAAATGGCAATGATACGATTATTGGCTTATGAAATTTCTGATTTGGCGTTTATATTTACTATAAGCTTTAGTGCAAATTGTATGTTTTTGTTGAGACATAGGATTAGTTGCGCAATTGAACTTCTGATGGCTCCTCCGATAGAAAATGAAGGATATGTAGAGGTAAGAATATATATATATATATATATATATACTAGCATACCCAGCCTCGCGTTGCGACGGTCCTTAGTAAAATCCACCTGATTGAAATTTGAATCTGATTGACAACCAACATTTCAAACCCTTTGTTATAAAAAATTCATATCAATCCAAAAATAAATAAAATCCGGATTGAAATTTGAATATGATGAATCAATACTATTGATTAAAGTGTTTTTTTAAACTTAAATAATAAATAAAATGAAATAATTAAAGATTTGAATAAATGAGTACTTTACAAAATTTCTAATGAATAACCAAGTGACTTTTATAAATTTGTTATATCCTATTTGGTATCACGTCCTATTTACCTTGCTAAATTTTTAACATGTTCTATGAATGCTGTATTTAGGAATGGTTTCATTTGCCACATACTATTGGGAACTTGCTATAAGCCCTTAATATTTTCTTCGAAAATTTTACATAAATTTATGATTAGACACTCACCGATTACAATGCATTTTTTTTTAATCTTTGATTACTTACGAATCACTTATAATATAAATTTCCGATTATAAATTGATATTCATACTATTCCTGAAACCAACATGGATAAAGTTCTGAGGAATCCGAGTCCAAATCTATTAAATGTATTATTTTTGGCACTTTTATTATTTTTTATGAACTTTCGTACTGTAAAACAATAAATGATCATTTATAAAAATTGTATTATTTATACTATAATTTTAGATGTATACTATCTATTTTGGTAAAGCAATTAATTTTTTTTATATTATTTTCAATTCTTTTTAATTTATTTTGAATTAGCAAATGTCAAAAAATATAATTAAAATATTCATTAAAATCATATTGTTTACAAATAATATGTCATTTTATAAATATTACTTATTATTTTGGTGTTTGATATGGGTATGAATTTGTAATAAAATTTATTCTTTCTGACAAATAGTTAAAAACTTGTTAAAATTTGCAAAATTTCATTCTTCAGAAAATAATTCACTCGCATCATATTGTTTTGTTTATTATATTATAATTTTGTCATGTCAAATATGTCAATAAAATTTTCATTCACAAAAGAAATATCTCTAATTGACCTTATATCTAAATATTATTTATTTTTTAATAAATTAATAATTATTCTAAGTCATCAATGAATAAATTATATAATTCTTAAATTCATATTTATATATAAAGTTATATATATATATATATATATATATATATATTAATTACAATATATATATATATATATATATATATATATATATACATATATGATTAATTTCTTGGAGGGCGTAACATCAAGTGAAAATTATAAATAAAGATTTTTAAAACATCTTTATTTTTCCATACGTTTCAACGTAAAATTCTACGTCAATGGTTTTGAAATTGTTAGATTATCACTTACACATATTAACAACAGCTTGTAAATAATTAATAATTGGAAACAAGCATCAATAGTCAGTAATTTCTTTTTTATAAAGAATGAAAAATAATTAATAAATGAAACATTATCATAAGCACCCGCTCATCTGAGGCTCATACAAGCTTACTAAATACTAAAGCATTATATAAAATTTGGGGCTGATTGATAAGGGAAGGGCAGTGGTACAAAATCTGAAATTCTTTTTTCAAATACTAGATATTATAATGTTTTTACTGCATTAGTTTCATTTGATTCTGCTCGTTCAATTTTTTTTCTGTACTTTGAACTTGTGCGTTGAAAACGCTTCAACCTGGGAGTAAATACAATTTGGGGTTGTTTAATGAGGGAAGAACAGTAGTTCTAAATCTGAAATTTTCTATTTAAATACTAGATATTATAATGTTTTTACTGTATTAGTTTTATTTGATTCTGCTCGTTCAATTTTTTTTTATATACTTGTAGGTGCATTGAAAATGATTCAGCATAGACGTAAGTACAATTTGGGGATGATTGGAGACGTAAGGGCATGGGTACAAAATCTGAAATTAAGTAATTTAAAACTATATATTACATTGCTTATAATGAGTTGTTATAATTTGATAATTTTAGTTCAATTTAATTTTTCCCGTACTAAATGCCTTAACATTATTTTAGGGATGATTTGGGACAGAACGGTGCTAGTAATTTTTATAAAAATTAGTGATTTTATATTATTATCAAAGATTATTTTGATCTTTTTTTGACTTCAATACAGGCTTTTTTCTGCACTATATACCTATCTTCAGGAAACATCTCATATTAGTATATTATGTGTGAATATGTATAATATGTGTAAACAAAAACAAAATATATATTAGATCAATATTATTTTTATAATATAGCAAAATATAAAAATCTGTACATGCGCTCAAAATGCTAGACGCACAAACCTTACTTTTTCTGAAATGAATAATTTAATTAATAATTTAAAAACAATTGTCAGATTCTGTTGGAATGTTTATAGAAAAACTATATAAACAATTAGGACAGTAAAAACTTAGTGTTTTTGGTCATTTTGTACGTCAAATAGAATTTGGCTTACTGCGTTTTTTTTTAACAAAATCGCTAAACGGACGGAGGATTAAACGGCACGTAGTAAATTTTTTTTTGAGGTACAAATTAGTACTAAATAATACAACAGGTCCGGATCGATTTTGCTAATTTGGTCTTGCTGGCTTAAGAGAGGTTGAGAAAAGTTATATGGTGTTGATTTACACAATTGCAAAAAACAGTATTTATATAATAATGTATCACTAAACCTCAAAGCCAAACAACTTCAGAAGGTCCCACTACAATCTTTAAAATAAGAAAGACATGCCAAATTGGTTATTATAAAAAGGATAAATCTGTAAATATCTATGTTAAATGCACAAAATATGTTTGTGGAAGATGTTCTCGAGAAACACCAACCATATGCAAAAATTGTACCGAATAGGGGTGTAAATGCCAGAAGTTAATTTTTTTTTCATATAGTTTATTGCAATATATGTAACTATTATAATAAAATGATATAGTGTTCAAAAATCTTATATTTTTTCAATGAATAAACAATAAACCTCTTCTAATTACCAACTAGCAATGAACATTTGAAAAGCCACCGGAATAGGTATTCATAAAATGTTGGTAGGTTTAGTGTTAATCATTTTCAAAGCCTTCGATTGTTATAAATTTATTTCAGACTGTGTTTTGTTTATTCCAGAATATTTACAAAGCTATGAACATTTACAACATGACATACAAACATGCCGAAATATTTGAAAAAACTCTGGTATGGCCTCTGGTATTTGGAATCGGGCTCATATTTCAAACAATCGTAATGCAGGTTAGTGAAAGCTCAAATGTAAACGATACAACAAATAATTCTATAATAATATTTTAAAACAAAGCATTGTGTTTCTATATAATAATATATGATATTACAGGGCTATAATCTTTATCAACAATTGTATGGAGCGCATATTATAGCAATTATAGAATGCTTGAAATGGGTCGTGATTTCTTATTTGCAATTGCTGCTGGTTGTCCGGCCTGCTGAATGCATTAAACGAGAGGTTAGCAAAAAAAAATTAAAAAAATCGAGAATTGTATAAGTAAAATAATTATATAACACAATAATAAGAAATGTCATATATACAATATTCCGTATTGTAAAATGCATCTCAATTCATTAATTTTTGTTTTTGTAAAACACATGACTTGTTTTTTAGGCATATTGAAAGATACTAATAATAATTAACAGGTTTTAATTTTAATAATAACCTCATAAACCTTTTTGGAATTACATAATATTCTGGCAAAAAATATTCTTGATTTGCCCTGCCTTTCTTTTTTCGTGTCGTCAAAAATAATAAAGCTTCACCTTGATAGTCATAATGTAAAGGTACACTATTATTCCGAGAGTTATTATTTTGATTGTATGGCATAGTGCCTTAAGACAAATTGCTAGAACTTTCCGTACCGTAATTAAAAATCTTTTTACGGAACCCAAAAAAAGTTACCCAAAATATGTACACATTATAAAAATCTCTAAAAAAATATCTGATAATTTGATGTACATATGTCCAATAAACATTTTTGACCGCCAAATTACATTTTTTTAACTTATTTTTATTGAGAATCCATAACTGCTGGGCCTGTCTTCCCAAAAATTTAATCATTTCTTCGAGAGTTTTTATTTTGATTGTATGGCATAGTGCCTTAAGACAAATTGCTAGAACTTTCCGTACCGTAATTAAAAATCTTGGTACGGAACCCAAAAAAAGTTACCCAAAATATGTACACATTATAAAAATCTCTAAAAAAATATCTGATAATTTGATGTACATATGTCCAATAAACATTTTTGACCGCCAAATTACATTTTTTTAACTTATTTTTATTGAGAATCCATAACTGCTGGGCCTGTCTTCCCAAAAATTTAATCATTTCTTCATCAATAAATAAATAAATAAATAAATAAATCTTGTCAATACAAGTAAAATGTTTTTTGAATTGTTAAAATCGGACGCACTTTTTGCCCCGTATTTTCGGAACGGCTAGACCTGCTTTCGCCAAAAACTAATCAGCATATATCATTATCAATACGAATCGAATGTTTTTTAAATTATTGAAATCGGTTATTCCATACTGTCGATAATGTCAAGGGCATTTGTTTGAACCATATACGTGAATTTTAAAATTAAAAATCTTGGTATGGAACCCAAAGAAATTTACATAATATGTTTACTATCATTATTAAAATCTCTATAAAATATCTGATAATTTGATGTAGATATGCTCAACAAACATTTTTGATCGCCAAATGACATTTTTTTCACTTATTCTTATTGAGAGTTTATAACCCATAGATCTGCCTTCCCAAAAATTTAACCAGTTCTTCACCATGTCAATACAAGTAAAATGTTTTTTGAATTATTAAAATAATAAGTATAAATTTTGTTTACATTCCTATGGGTTCCGTACCTACCAATGATTATAAAAAAATAATTTTTCAGAGTAAATTTTTTTCAAAATTGTTAGTCTTAAAAAAAAAAATGGTACGGAAAGTTCCGGCAATTTGCCTTAAGGCACGATGCCATGCTCCCCAATGTTATATAATTTGAATAAAAATACAGGTAAACCCCGTATAGCGCACGGTACTTATAGGGCACGGATTCACTAGGGCGCTGGTATGTATGTATGTATGCAGAGATCTAGGGACATTCCTGAAAACACGGTTGTTTTGATTCGTTTAATTCAGTGATCTTTTGGAATATAAACATTTTATAACCTGCATATTAATAAAACGAACATATATCATAAGTTATTAAATTAATTTGAATTGTAATTGCTCGAAAAGACGTTGTTGATGCTACATCTTGAATGCAGTAGCTTGCTAATAGTATGATACAGTTTGTTAAAAACTATTAAAAGCTTTTTCAGTTTTTCAAAGAACGATGGCTTCAATTAAATTGTCACCCCAAACGAAAAGCCTGAAAAAGACTTCGCAATAGTATATTAACTGTTTTTAAAGCTTCTAAAACATACAAAATTCCCTATCAAACCTGATTTGAGCTAGTTGGCATTGTTAGTTTGAAAGACTTTAAACATTATTTTCGTTTGTTGGTAGAATTGTAACCATTATTTCAAGTTTAATTTTTGTATTTTGAGTTTAAATTTTATATTTATTTAAAGTTTATATATTTATTTAATCGCCGTTAAAAATTATTTCTACATTGTTTTATATCAACTTCGCGTAGGGTAAATTATAGTAAACCCAAAAAAATCGAAAATGAAATTTTTTTACATCTTTACGTTTCGAAGGTTTCTAAACATTTTGGCATACATTAGAAAAAATGGATGTATGTGCGTATGTGTCTGTGTGTGCGGATACAAATTTTTGTCGACGATTTCGGGAACACTGACCAACCGATTTAAATACTTAAAAAAACATTCGATTCGTATTGATAATGTGCTGGTTTGTTTTTGGCTAAGGCAGGTCTAGCCGTTCCGAAGAAGATACGGGTCAAGAAGTGCCAAAACGGTAACTCAGTTTTTAAGAGAAAGGAGCGTCCGATTTTAATAATTCAAAAAATATTTTACTTGTGTTGATAAGATGAAGAACTGATTAAATTTTTTGGAAGGCAGGTCCAGCGGTTATGGACTCTCAATAAATATAAGTTAAAAAAATGTCATTTTGCGGTCGAAAATGTTTATTGGACATATGTACATCAAATTATCAGATATTTTATAAAGATTTTGATAATGTGTACACATTTTGTGTAATTTTTTTTGGGCTCCGTTCCAAGATTTTTAAATACGGTACGGAAAGTTTCAGCAATTCGCGTTAAGGTACGAAATTATATCATAGTATTATTATTCAATAACCCATAATGTTTATAACCTATTCAAGTATATATATCAAGGCAATACGATAAAAAATGTATGATTTATATCACGAGCAACTTATAATGATCTTTATAAGTCCAATTTGTAGAATAGAACAGTTTTAGCTCGTTCACTTTCCTAATTCTTTTACAAATCATCTTTAAAGTCAAATGTTCCTCGGCATCCTGTAATATGGTACATTTACCCAATGTGAATCCAATTTTTTTATGTTTATGCGTTTAATATGAAATAAAATCATTTCTTGACATGTTAACTGGGTATTAAAAAATAATTGTACCCAAATAGGATCTATATCGTACTATTTCTGTTTGAAATAATTATAGTTCAAAATTTCAATTGCAACATTTTATTTGAATAAAAACAACGGCATAAAAACAACAAATATAATATGACCCTTAATTAACTTCCCGTAGGGTAAGTTATTGTAATCGTACAAAAATTGAAGATTTCTACATTTCTTCACGTTTTGAAGGTTTCTCAACATTTTGGCATACCTCAGAAAAAATGGATGTGTTTGTGTGTGTATATGTATGTATGGATACAATTTTACGTCCAAGTTCTCGGGCGCACGGATCAACCGATTTGAATGGTTCAAAAAACGTTTGATGGCTATTGATAGGGAGATGTGCTGATTAGTTTTTGGCAAAAGCAGGTTCAGCCGTTTCGAAATTGAGTTTTTGTGAGATCGGAGCATCGGATTTAAATGATCCAAAAAGCAATTCGTAATGACGGAGAGAAGTGATGATTCATTTTTGGCATAGGCAGGTTCAGCGGTTTCGAAGATACAGAGCTAAATGTACAAAAAATGGCAGTTTTTGAGAGAACTAAGCGTCCGATTTAAATAAGTTCAAAAAACTTTCTGCTTGTTTTAACAAAATAATTGCTTTTGCAAAAAAAAATGTTTCAATTTTTTTTCAACAATTGTTTTTTTTTCAATTTTTTTCTAAATAATTCAGATTTCAATTATAACTCTGACTTAAGTTCCAATATACTATAATACTAATATACTTTAAACAAATATAAACAAATTTTTAACTTTGCAATTCAGTTTATATAATTCTTATAAATATTAGACAATGTTACAGTATTTATTTATAATAATCTATTTGAAAACATTTAATATTCCCCGAATATTTCATTACGGTACGAGAAGTTTCAGCAACTTGCCTTAAGGCATGATGCCATGCACACTACTAGTTTAATTTTTTTTAATCTTTTTCTTATAGGCGGCAAAGTGCGGTAGCACCTTACATAGTAAAGCGCCCCAAGTTGCAAAAACTGGAGAAGTAAATTCGCAGGTGTGTAATTTTTGCAACCCTTGATGATGAACATAGTTTGGCGATCAAGCAGTATTGTATCAATTTTTATACATGAAAATATAGATCTAAATTTGTTTCGAATTGTAATGTTCTTTTTAGCACATGTGCAATAAGTTAAAATATTTGATGCAACCATCAACCATTGAGTTGTCTGCTAAGGCGGCAACGTTGGAGAGAAGTACCATCTCAAAAATACGTTTTACTTCAAATATCTTGTTAATAATTTTTTAGGAACCGTCGGTTTTATTATTTTTTTACTTTTATTTAATTTCATGGACTTAGAAATTATTGTGTGTATTAAAAAAAGAATATTTGGGAAAGATTAGGGAAAACAAATTTCATTAATTTTTCTATTAAAATAATAAGAATTAAATTTATACTTGTTTATTATTACTTCTATAAGCAAATCAAATACAATTCATTATTTACATTCCTCGGTGAAATATATCATAATACGCAATTTGAATCCCAATATTGCGATCTTTATTAAACTACAATGTCAGCTGGGTCTCATTATTGTCTCCAGAACTGTATTATTAATAACAAATCATTGACACTATTGATTTTTTATGCATTTCACGCTGTTTTGAATAAATATGAGTTATTATGAAACTGGAGAGCTAGTCAATTTATTACTCATGACATTGTGAGATATAAATACATCAAGCGAAATAACTAAAAAAAAATTAATTCAAATATAATAAAGAAATCTTGTTTTTTATATGCTGGTTTTTGTTTATCTTCTGAATATTCAATCCAAATATTGAAAACAAACATTTTTTCATTGTTTACAATGATTCAAAACTAGTTGCGTTCAATCATCAGGCTTTTTGTCAGAAATAAAATTTGTAGATATATTAATTTTTACATTAATCTTTTCAGATACTGCTAAGGAGCTCATTGCAATTGGTTCATGAGCCAATTTTGTTTTCGGCTATAGGATTTTTCGACATAGATTATACCCTAGCCTACAATGTAAGTTTTAATTTAAATGTAATTTCTTAGAAACACAATTACAATCATTATAATAATACTATAATCTAAAGTAAAAATAAAACCTTAAACATTTTATCTGATCATGCTGAAATGATTTAATTTATAAAAGACTACGTTGGGGTTGTGAAAATTAATTAATTTATTTAATGAATTACTAAAAATAAGATTTTTACTAACAAGTGAAATATCATTCAAAAAAACCATATACACTTTTTATTTTGTCATTACATTGAAATATTTTACTTGATGTTTATTACATTTTTTGTAATTCCTGTTGTTAATCAGTATAAAAAGTTCGTATTTATGTAAAAATTAATGGGTTTGTGGGTCTTTTAATTAATATTGAAATATTAAAGTATATCACAGTGCAGAATTATTTCTATCAGATGACTGGAGCTGCTCTAATGTACTTGGTGATATTGATGCAATTTGATCATGGAAGGCGAACATAATTAATACTGATCTCGATCATGAGGCGAAATTATATATATATATATATATATATATATATATATGAGTGTGTGTAGGTGTTGAAATTGTTACAACATTCATTAACAAATCCTTCAAAAGGAATGTGACCATAAAATATAAATCAATAATGTAAAAAATTTAATACATTGCGACACATAATAGTAAAAGCTTCTATGAGAATAATTTAATTGTAATTCAACTATATATGTATACATATAGTCGATATCTACAATCTCAAAACGTTATTTCTAAAACTATGCCATATATGGTGCTATAAAAAAATTATTAAATATGTTTATATTTAATATATGCAATTTGTATGCATCTTTGTAGTATTCATGCGAAAAATAGTTAATGGTAAAGTTATTACAGATATGAAAAGTGTCCTTCCCAATTAATAAATAATATTTTTTTATCTTATTAGAACAGATCTAACATAAATACAGCTATCATTTTTTCCCGAATAAAAAAAATTTTAATTAGTTGGAAATTTAAAAGTAAATATTAAATGGCATCATTAAAGTAATATTTTATTTATTAATATTTAGACATATTTGATATTTTATACACGAGAATATACATATTTATGAATAAATAGATCTATATATATATAGATCTATTATTCATATATATGTATATTCATATGTATTATTCATATATATTATTTTGATATATATATATCAAAATAATTTAAATACTGTAGTATTATAAATATGGTATATAATCTTTAATAAACTATATCTAATAATAAATAAATTATTTAATGAAACAGTTTAATTTGTTTAAATACAATAGTATTTCCAAAAATTGAAATTTGTATAACATAATACTATATTTAACTAAACGAATACGAATAATACTATAAATATGCAGTTTACTGAAAAAGTTCAATATGCAAATTACGACTATTAATTTGATGTTCGTCGCTTTGAGTTATGAGAATGTTTCTGAGAAGATTACTAAATGCGTTCATAAAACCTATTACAGTTTCATAATTATTTAAATTACGCTTTTGCTCAACATGACCTTCGTTGTTGTCTCTTTCTTAACAGTCGAAATCAATTCATTTAGATCTAGAGAGAAAACTGATGAGAAAAAATACGAAATTGTGAACGATGTGTGATATACGCTAGAAAACTGGTCTGGCGTTTGCCATTGAATTTCGAACATGGCATAACATTGCATGAGACGCCTATTGCACAATATAAAATATAGGTAAACCAGATCCATGGAATATGATCGCAGAGGACACAAACGATTAGTATATAAAGAATTGATCCCATTCGATTGATATCATACAACGATTTGGTTGATCGGTAAAGAACTTACTAGGAACAAACATGAAATTCTTGGTGAGTACCTTTATAATTGATTATTTTGTTTTTTATTAAATCATAACATAATAAAATTTTATACATTTTTTAGAATTGATTTGTTTTAACTTGTTCATTTTAACCATTACATACATTAGTTTTTGCACATAAAATTCATCTAATTCGATAGGTTTATTCTATTAATGAAAGAGTGCATTTATTTCACTATGTGTAATAATAATTTTAATAATTTAATAATGTTTTAAATTTAATACCTTTTTATAATATATTTGTTTTAATCATTCCCCAGATTGTAGCGTTGGTCGTGTGTGCCGCTTTGGTGAGCGCCGAAGAAGAGAAGAAGGTTGCCAAACGTGGTCTTTTAGGTTTGGGACATGGTTACGCACCAACTTTTTGGCAGCAGCTACTTGTCCAGCGGTTTCGGCGGTGTTGGCCTTTCTTCTGGTCACGGATTAGCTTTAGGAGGTCTGGGATACTCCGGTTTAGGCTTAGCTCATGGAGGTCATCACGTCAGCCACTCAGTGTCAGTCAACAGAGTGGCTATCCCAGTTCCACATCCAGTACCAGTACCAGTTGAAAGAACCGTGCATGTGCCATACAAAGTGCCTGTACCTTATGCAGTAGACAGGCCATATGCTGTCCACGTTCCAAAACCATACCCAGTACCAGTTGTCAAACATATTCCAGTACCAGTTGACAGTACTACAAGCCTTCCAGTACAGTTCAAAGTTGTCCCAGTACCCCCAGTCAAGGTACCAGTTGTACACAAAGTTGCCGTCCCAGTACCAGCTCCATACCCAGTTCCCGTTCACAAGGCCGTACCAGTCGCAGTACATACACCAGTATTTGTCAAACACCATCCCTGGTGAACAATCTGTCATATACAAACTTAAAAAATATATAACATATATGTAATAATTTTAAAAAGTTAGATTCAGTTTTCTTAAACATATGAAGAATGTAAAAAGAAATTAAGTCATAGACTAAGTAGTATAATTATTTTTTATAAATAAATGTATATTAATAAAATAAATTAATTAGAAATCAATATATACTCGTATATGTTTTATGCCTTTTTATGTATGTTGATTCATATATGTACATGCATTCATACAAATTGTTCATTATCAAATGAATCAACAACTTTTCAAATACTTGCAGTGTAGTGTAAATTGTTAGATTGCCTATTTAATTAAAAGAAGAAGACATAAACACATTATTAACTTCCCGTAGGGTTAAGTTATTGTAATGGGCCGAAAATAAAAATTGAAAATTTTTACATTTCTCGACGTTTTGAAGGTTTCTGAACATTTTGGCAAACCTCAGAAAAAAATGGATGTGTGTGTGTGTGTATGTATGTATGTATGGATACAAATTTTCAGTCACGTTTTCGGGCGCACGGATCAACCAATTTGAATGGTTCAAAAAATATTCGATTCCTATTGAAAGGGAAAAAAGCTGATTAGTTTTTGGCAAAGGCAGGTCCAGCCGTTTCAGAGATACGGAGCAAAGAGTGCAGAAAATAGAAATCGAGTTTTTGAGAGAACGGAGTATCCGATTTGAATGATCTAAAAAACATTCAATTAGTAATGATTGGGAAAAGTGTTTATTAGTTTTGGCAAAGGCAGGCCCAGCCATTTCGAAGATACGGAGCTAAATATGTAAAAAATGTCAGTATTTGAGAGAAATAAGCGTCTGATTTAAATGATTCAAAGAACTTTCTGCTTGTCTTAATAAAATAATTGATTTGGAAAAAAAAATTTGTTTCAACTTTTTTGTCGGTTCTTTTTTGTAGTTGTTTGTTTTTTTTGTTGAATTACTTCATTTACTGTCATCATGTCGCTGTCATGATGAATCGGAAACCCGGAAGTTCCGTCAGGACATTGAAGGCATAACCGGAACAAAAAGACAAGGACAGACATCGGAAGTGTGTATTGGACGATGAAATTGATACAAGCATATAAATATATATAATATATATAATATATATTATATATTATATCAATATGAAAAATGATGAGAAAATGTTATGCACGACGTTTTGAAAGTGCCATTACCAGACACAAACTTTTGTAAAAACAACTTTTTGTAATAAAACACTTGAAGAGACTTATGTACTATGTAAGAAAAATCAAATAATGTAAATGTGTATATATGCTTGTATCAATTTATTACTTTTATTTATTCAATCATGAATTTTTGTTATTATTGCGAATTTAAATCATTTTTTTATCATATACATTTTAGCATGTAAGTAATCCATGACGAGAGGGATGTTAGAAATATTTTGTATATTTTATTTATTAAGTAATTTTATTTTTATATGATTTGTGTAATTATGATGAAATCAATTTATGTGCGTATTGATATTTACAAATGTTGTTTTCTTAATTAATTTCATGTAATTGATACAAACAATTCAGATAATAAAAATAGAAAGAAAACTATGCTAGACTAATCTTTTAACTATGCTCTTCCTTATACTCATCTTTTATCTATGGCTAGACTAAACTACTGCTAAAAGGTTGATACTAAAAACTGTGTTACCAGTCTATATAATTATATGTTCTGTGCTCTTTTAGCGGCCGAGATATGTCAAAAATACAAACACGTCAATTGCACTCGATCGCTTAAACGTCATAATCATATCAAATGAAAGTGTCATAGATAAGTAAACATAAGTTTGTACCTGAGAAATGTATGGGGACTAGCAATCCATGTATATAAGGTCTATGTGTCTAGCACTTGGTTGAACAAGTGACTTCCTAGACAATATAATAACAATTATTCATATCAAAAATTTAAATAGAATTTAAGTTGAAGTGTGGTTTTTGTGAAAATATGATTTAGGTAAGTACAAAATAATATTTGAAATTTTAATTTTAAGGGACAGTGGTTCGTGTTTATGTGTTGGGCTTAATTCTAAACAAATATTTGTTAAATACATTTCCAACGCTTTGTGATATTGATTCAGGTCCAAAACAATTTTTAATGCATGAATTTGTTACTTTAAACGTCAGAATTGAATTATTTAAGGTTAAACGTCAAACGTCAAAATTGACAGTTGTTTTCAGGCTAAAAGTGTCTGTTGTGACATATTTATTTTCAAATGTTTATTTTAAAATTGTTAATTAATGAATATTTTATTTGAAAGCAAAACCACAAAAACTTTGCGAAATAATCCGTGTATAGATATCTTTAAAATAATCAAGTAGAATAGGTCAGATTCAGTTCATTTTTTCTTACCTTTTCAAAACTGCTCAACATCAGAAATATTTGAAAAGAGGAAAATACTTTTTTTCATTGTTCAAACAAAAGGTGTGTTTTTTTATACAAGGAAATACGTTTTTGAATGTTTTCTTTGAAAACAAATATTCGTGTATTAATTGACATGTTAATAATATTTATTAAAGTTAAGCAGTTGTTATTAATAATTCAATATTTACATCATAAATGGGCCAGAATACATAAATGCTCTTTATAAGCAAGTATTTTTTCTTTTGAATCATAAGTGCCATTTTCAATTAAATTAATTATTAATTTTAATTGATAAAATGAAAATTATTTGTTTGTCTAACGTTAATAAATATTTAAGAAATTTGCGCAAAATTAAATTACCAACAATTTTTTTAATATTTGAATTCTTTAAAATATCATTCAAAAGCAGAATAATAATTTTAGCGAGCTAACAGTACAATTATGTTTTATAATATTTATGAATCATCAACCATATTGAATCCACGGATTTTATCAAATAAATTTGAGTCAATTTGAAAAACTTTCGCATATTTTGATTAATTTTTAGTAATTAGCAATATGCGAGTTTGGGACATTTTTTTATATTTTGTCAAATATTTTGAAAATTTTGTTTTGGACACTTTTATATGTTTATTTTAGTATTAACTAGATAAAATTTTTAACTGGAACGCGAATTTCTGTCTGTGTACATTTTATCAAACAACTTGAAAATTTTGTTCTAGGCATTTTAATTTATTTATATTAGTAAAAAATAGATAGAATTTAGATTTATAAATCATAAACCATATTAAAAGCAAAGACTGCTATTCATACTTTTGTTATAACTACAGTGATGATATCAAATTATTCGATTATAATAAATGATGTATTCTACAAATTCATTTGAAGTTGAATCCACGGACTATCTATACATTTTCTAAACTTTTGAAATGATCCTAATTAGATGCATATCCTTAAAATAAATTTTGATTCTTATTACAGGTGCTTATGACTTATAAGAATGCCTTAAAAGGAACCTTACAACCTGGGTCTCCCCTATAATAGATGAAAAATATAATCAACAACTAATTGGACGAAGTCTTTTTGATGAAAAGGAGCTTTCAGGGCGTGTATCATTAACCAAACAACGAAAACTTTGGTTATGCAACATCGTAATTTTAGCAAAAAAAAATAGATTTGTTTTTGCAATTTTCGAAATGTTTTCACTGATTCCAAAAGATTTTGGGACGCTGATTTCAAAAATGCTATCTATTTTTGGATAAACCCACATACACCCCCCGAAAAATCGAAATTTGGTTGCAAAATCGATTTTTCTTTATAAAAAATCGGCTTTCTTCGCGATTTTCAAAATGTTTTGATTGGTTTTGATTGATTTTGGGACGCTGATTTCGAAAATAATATCCGTTTTTGGATAAATACACATACACACCCCGAAAAATCGAAATCTTTGGTTGCAAAATCGATTTTTCTTTAAAAAAAATCGGCTTTCTTCGCGATTTTCAAAATGTTTTGATTGGTTTTGATTGATTTTGGGACGCTGATTTCGAAAATATTATCCGTTTTTAGATAAATCCACATACACCCCCCGAAAAATCGAAATCTTTGGTTGCAAAATCGATTTTTCTTTTAAAAAAATCGGCTTTCTTCGCGATTTTCAAAATGTTTTGATTGGTTTTGATTGATTTTGGGACGCTGATTTCGAAAATATTATCCGTTTTTGGATAAATCCACATACACCCCCCGAAAAATCGAAATCTTTGGTTGCAAAATCGATTTTTCTTTAAAAAAAACGGCTTTCTTCGCGATTTTCAAAATGTTTTGATTGGTTTTGATTGATTTTGGGACGCTGATTTCGAAAATATTATCCGTTTTTGGATAAATCCACATACACCCCCGAAAAATCGGAATCTTGGTTGCAAAATCAAAATTTTACTAATGAAACGAAAACTTTTTTTCGCGATTTTCAAATGTTTTGACCGATTCTGATAGCTTTCGAGGCGCTGATACCGAATATTGAATCAGTTTCGGGAAAAAAATTCTTCAGTCCCTGTGACCAATTTGAAGTTGAAAAATTGCCACCTTTGAAGCTGATTTTAACTATGAAGACGATGATAAATTGTAATTTTTTGGTTTGGTATAAAGATTGTACTTTAGTCTACACAAAGCATAATTAAAATTATTATTTCATTCATTAAGGGCCTTAAAATTGCATTTAAATGTCACGATTTGGGCCAATTTTGGCTGCTCCTGATAACTGTTTTTTTATATCGGAAAAATAATAAGATTTTTAAATTACACCAAAGTAGGTTTGGTTACTGTTAACCAGGCGTAAATAAAATTTATTAAAAATTATCCCTACTATTTCTTATCTTTTATATATATATATATATATATATATATATGCGTATATATATGCGTGTATATATAATATATATATATATATATATATATATATATGCGTATACATATTTATACATATATGCGTATATATATATTTATATATATATATATATATATATAGATATAATCTATATATTATATAATCTATATATATCTATATTATATATATATATATATGATATATTATGTCGATTTTTGTAATACTGACACT